TTGGAGATGCTTCCAGCACTGCAGTTCTATTATCCTACTTTTCTCTTGGGTGCAAGAAACTGTTTGAAGATTTGTGTGTTCACAGACAAATGCACACTACCTGTACAGTGGACCCTCTACTTACAGAATTAATCCGTATTGGAACCATGGCTACAGGTCGAAAAGTCTGTAGGTCACGTCTCCATGACCTACAATGCATTGATAACCGATTAATCCTGTAACCGACCATTTTTGTTCCACTTTTGTTCCATTTTGTGTTTTTTCTGGTCTGTAGGTCGATTCTCTGGCTGCAAGTCGAATCTAAATTTTGTGGCCAGAGAAGTCTGTAACTCGAAAAGTCTGTAAGTCGAGCCGTCAGTAAGTCGAGGGTCCACTGTATTGTTTATCAAAACACTGTAAAGTCTGGGAGCTAAAACCAGGGCGTCCCCTTTGCTGCACAGAAGCAAAGACTTGAATAAAGAGAGATCTATTCAAGATTCGAGCATGTCTATGACCATGATGGATCATTGTGGAATTAATCAATTCAGAAGTTTTTCAAATGTTTGAAAGTTGTTTTGCTCCCTTCCAATTGCCATCATTAACTCTAGTTGCCAACTAGAGTTCTTTAATCAGTGACTTCGAGCAGCAAATTAGATCTTCAAACTCAAGCTTACAGCCTATATCCCATTTGTTTGTTTGACAAGTGGCAATACTTTAATGAGAGACAATCACTCTTCCAAAGGCTGGTTTATTGTTTGAGACAGATATTGTGCTAATGGTTTATGTGGCAGCCATTCAACTGGCATCTGTTATCCTGGGATGAGCATATGAGTGGCACTAACTGCAGATGAAGAAAGGAAAGGAAGAAAACCTGGAACATGGAGAGGTGCCTGGAGGTTTCAGAATTGAGGACAAATAATGGTGTAGTGAAATTAAGAGTTGAATTAACTTTGTATGTTCAAAGTTTGTATGTATGTGTATGTGTGTGTACACACACACACAGAGTGGTGCCCCGCATAGTGACGATAATCCGTTCCAGGAAAATTGTCGATATCCGAAATCATCGCTATCCGAAACAAAAAACCCCATAGGAACGCATTAAACCCTGTTTAATGCGTTCCTGTGGGGAAATAACTCACTGCTATGCGGAAATCCTCCATACGGCCGCCATTTTCGCCACCCGGTAAGCGAGAAATCCGCGCGAAAACGCTGTGGGTGGCCATTTTGGAACTGCGACCAGCTGTTTAAAAAACATCACAATGCGAAGATCCGTAAGCGAAACGCTTACGGATCATCGCAATGCGATTTTCGCCCACTTAGAACATTGCAATGCGATCGCTTTTGCGATCACAAAATCCGCAAAATCACCTCCACGTACAGCAACTGAAGAGTCAGATCCTGAACCTGGGACATAGCGACCAGCACCTGGGGAAAAATTGCCACTAACAAATAAACCCCTCGCTATGCGGATTCGTTGTTAAACGGGGCGTTCGCTGTGTGGGGCACCACTGTATGTATACATATTTGAATTAACATTTGAAATGTTTTTCCTAATTGCTTTTTAAACACTTGATTCGCTGTGTGGGGCACCACTGTATGTATACATATTTGAATTAACATTTGAAATGTTTTTCCTAATTGCTTTTTAAACACTTGAGTCCTGGGGGGCCGGACCCTCATTAGGTCCAGCTGGGACAGGGATATTCATATTCCACATCTCTAGTCACAAGTCGAGTCTGACTCATTGGGATAAAAAACAAACAACCAGATGAGTTTGAGTTGAGTCACCAGTGGGACTTAAGTCCGACCTGACGGTGAGTCCCGCAGCTTGAGTCCCCATCCTTGCAATACCTGTTGTTTTTGTTCCTAAGGCATTACAGTGTAAGGTTTGTTTCCAGTTTATTGATTTGCATGATGAGGCTCTAATGTCTTTTGCCTCAGAGAGCTGATTGTGGAATACATGTTTTCTAACTATCTCAGGTAGCTATCTGATTTCTCCTCTGGAGGCCATCTCAGCACTAAGCGTTCTATCTGGAAGCCTGTGCATGTGACATACCTCTCTGTGTTATCTCTCCACTTACATTACATGTAACTTCGAAAGAGACAGGGCACCCACCTATGTTTCCACCACACAAGTTGTATTGTGCCTTAAGTAATTCTCCAAATTAGACTCCTCGAGTATTGATTTAGTTCTAATATTGAAGAAAAGTGTTTTCTTTTTAAGATGTGAAAATTAGATCCCTTGACTCCAGCTACTTGGAGATCTTGTAGGCTTTTACAGTTTTCAGGCAGTTTGTAGATAAATTTTGAGCAGGCAGGCAGTCTCAAATCAAAATATTCAACCATGAAACTTCCAAAAAAAAAAACAACAGATGCTTTAGAAATGAGAAGATTTCACAGAGGCATCTTACTGAATTTAGTATATAGGAAGCTGCTTTACAGTAAGCCAAACTCTCTAGCCCAGTGCTGCCTACTCTGACTACAGTGGATCTCTCCATGGCCTCAGCTGGAGGTCTGTCTTATGCCAATCCTTTTTACTGGAGAAACTAGGGTGTTGGATTTGGCAATTTCTTTAGGCAAAGCACATGCCTTACCACAGATGTACAGTATGTTTTTCAGATCCTGCAGTATAAATAAATAATCCTGGATTATTTTTTAAAAAATACCCTCTTTCCAGCCACCATTTCCAGTCCTGAATATGTTTACTTCAAGGTACTTTCACTATGTTTAGTGGGCTTCCCCATTTGCTCTCCATATATTTGGAATTGAATTTTTAAGTTCCTTGATTTTAAACATGTTCTTCCTAAACTATTTGGAATTTCAAAGTAGATAGTTGAAAGTTATCTTCCAGATTACTTCTCAAATTCTACAAGAGGGATAACTATTCTCAAAGAGCAGGACTGACTTTTAATGTTTAGGTTTTTCAGTAAAGCCGCAAAATGAAAAGGTATCTTGCATTGAGTAATTTCGGAACATGTTGTGTTGTTATATAGGTAAACTGAAAGAACTTAATGGAAGTGCACCTGAAGAACAGCGGTTGACAGAAGATGAATTAGATCTTCTAGAAAATATGCTGTCTGTCATATGCAATACCTCTATGGAAGCGCCCACAGCACAGCAGCTGCAAACCTTGTGGAAAGCAATTAACTGGCCAAATGGTACGAAGTAGGGGTCATACTGTAGATCTAAAAATTATATGGAAAGAAGACAGTATGCACAACAGGCTGGCCGAGGATGCTAATTCTGAGAGTGGCCTGGAGGGAGAAGATGAGAAGCTGGGCCTTCTCGGTGGTGGAATGAACTTCCTCCTGCAATTTGTCTGACCCCTTTGCTAGCAATTTTTAAAAAGTCACTAAAAGCCCTGTTATTCAGGCAGGCATTTCAAAACATTATACCTGCAGAGTCAGCTGAACTTTTCTAGCCTTAATCTGATCAATTCCACCATTTTAAAAGTTTACATAAATATATAAATTTACATAAATATATTTTAATGCTTTCTAATTATATTGCTTATTTGTATTTTTATTTTCTATTCTGCCAAATTGGTATTTTAATTATGTTGCTGCTATGTTTTGCTGTAATCCTGTCGAATTGGTATGTTAATTATGTTGCTGCTATGTTTTGCTGTAAACTGCCCTTGGCCAGGTGGGCATTAATAATTATTTAAGCAATTGGAACAAGAGAAGTTTACAAAACCATTTTCCATTAAAAGGCTGCTATTTTACTGATGGGAGCCTAACTCTTTTTATCTGGTGTGACAGTATTCCAGCGTCTGCCCAAGTTAAATATCCATGAGGTGTCCGTGTTCCAGAGAAGAACCCTCTTTTATTAATTAGGAGGCAGATTTTTACCATGGGATTGACAAATCTGCTTCAGTATTGCAAAAAAAAAATTCAAAGGATAATATAGTAATGGCGTGTTGTTGTTTGTTTTTGGTTTTAGACATTGTTTTTCCAGCCCTCGATATCCTTCGGTTATCGGTCAAGCATCCCAGTGTGAATGAAAGCTTTTGCAGTGAAAAGGATGGCATCCAGTTCTGCAGCCACCTTCTTGACTTTCTGAACCCCGGTGGAAAACAAGCCAACCAGATGCTGGCCCTTAGAATTTTCTGCAATTGTTTTCTCCACCCAGTTGGTCAAAAGCTGATGATATCGCAGGGGGACACAATCATGTCACAAGCAATAGAACTGAAGTCGAGTAGCAATAAGAACATTCACATTGCACTGGCCACCTTGGCGCTGAACTATGCCGTTTGTTTACATAAAATGAGTAACCTTGAGGGGAAAGCTCAGTGCTTGTCAGTGATCAGCACAGTCATGGAAGTTGTGCAAGACCTCGAAGCTGTTTTTAGGCTGCTGGTGGCTCTCGGGACACTGATTAGTGGGGATTCAAATGCTCTGCAGTTAGCTAAGTCTCTAGGGGTTGATTCTCAAATTAAGAAATACTCCTCTGTATCAGAACCAGCTAAAGTAAATGAATGCTGTAGGTTTGTCCTGAACTTACTCTAACTCTTTTTTTTAAGGGCACTTGGGAGTTTAGGACTACACTGAAGATAAACTTTTTCATATTTTACAATAATTAAATACTGTGAGTTTAAATCTGGATATTAAGTGAAACAATCGAAATAAAATCTTTTTGCACTGATCTGGTATGTGGTGATCTGGTATGTGGTGTTCTTCAGAGCTAAGACGCATGAGATCCTACTGTGCAGTTTATCTTTGGTGTCATCTGAATGAAAAGAATAAAAGTAAAAGCAGAAATAAAGAATGTAAGCTTCATTCACTGAGCTATATCTAACTATGGAAACAGACAATGTTTGTTAAATGGATATCCTGTTTCCTCCTCGGGTTCTCCAAATCTGTCCTTGTTGGGTGACCACACAGAGCAAATTTAAGGGGTATGCCAGAATCTGCGGAAACGCAGAGGATATAGGCCACTTATAAGAAACTTTGTTTTTCTCTGGAACTTTTTATTATTTTAGAAGAAAAGTACAACAATGAACTATTATATTTTGATGGGCAGTGGGCAGCTTGTTCTATAGCTGTTGCTGGTCTTTGTCAGTTCTAGTCAATATAGCCAAAGGTAAGGCATGATGAGAATTGCAGTTCTATGGCATCTGAAGGCTCGTAAGGTACCCATTCCTGAATTAGGTCAGCATTACTGCTTATTCCTCCAGCAAGCGGAGGTGCCGGCTGCTGTTCTAGCTTTCGCATTGTATAGTGCTCTACCTAAAAATGCTCCTCATTCCTTGTAATTGAAGATGCTGCAAAAACCTTTAGAGAGATTCTTCAGTTTTCTTCATCTAATTATAGGAAGAAAGGATTCATATTAGGGTAACAGCAGCAATGTGTTTTCTGTGTTTAGGTGTGTTATGGGCTTTCCCTTTTTTTGTTCTTTTCCTGTAAAATGTTCTTTCAGAATACATATGGTGCTGTCCTCTGGATTCAGTGATAACACTACGCTTCTTTCAACATTGAGAAATTATCTTTAGCTAGCCAGATTGCAATAATAATGCTGAAAGACTGTGAGCTATCTCATTTATATTGATGAGATGTTAATTCTAAAGTCTAATTCGTTATACCTAAATGTCAGCATTATTTCTTAGTTCCTTATCAGAAACATGTAGCTACTGTGTTTATCCTTTGTTCTTATACATTTAGAAATATAGCTGCAATACTAAGTATGCAAATAAGTATTTGAGATCAGAATGTACTAATTTCATTTTGGGAAATGTCTTTCCTTGGGATGTGCTTTGCCAAACTTCAGTGTGCTACGGTAAGATTTGTTAGCAATCCCCACTGCGAGAGGCAGTTGTGATCCTGGGATATGCTTCCCAGGAGGAAATTTCAGCAGCATAATAGCACTCTGTGGAGCCCCATTTAACTGTACTACCTTGTAGTAAGCAGGACTTCATCCTTCAAGGTACAGGCAGTAGTAATTCCTTCTACATGTGGTTTTCTTGGAGATTCAGCTAGAACTGATCTGCTTTTTACAGTGAATCCAACCAGTTATGTTCCCATGGATTCTATGAACAAGAGTTCTACTCACTATAGTTACTAGAGGTGTGCTCTTTTCTATTTTTATAACTGCAATTCCTAGAATTCTACAAAAATTCTGGGAATTAAAGCCCAGAAACCCAAATTTGCATGCCTGTTTTGTCTCCCTGAAGGGCTTTTAAGTCATTTACCTGCACTATCTGTTTCTGCTGCCTTGCTTCTTGTTGCTGTGAAAAGGAGAGAGAGAGGAGCTGCTGCAGTACTTCCTGGGAGTCATAATTTTTGGGGAGTCATCTTCTGTAGATTCTGCTTCCAGCGAGACTGATTCCTGGGAATCCAGTTCCTTTCTCAGATGAAACTCTGAAGAGGCATTATTTTGTTACGTCATTGCTATTCAGTAGTATCGTTAATCAACATCTTAAAAGTAGTTTTTCAGTACAGAAGGTGCTTTTCCTAATGTATACAGGAAGCTTAAGTCAGAGTCTGGTTAGAAGTATTGTTTCACAGAAGGTGCTTTTCCTAATGTATAAGTCAGAGTCTGGTTAGAAGTATTGTTTCCATTTACAGATAAGATAAAGCCTCAAGTATAAAGACTACTGAAGATGGTTGTAGACTTTGCCTAGAGACCATCTAGCTGTGAGTTGCTAAGCCCAAATGTTGGTCTTCCATCTGGCTCCTTTCCACCTGGTGTAATCAGGTAATTTTGGATGCTTCAACCAAGACTCCAAAGTTTGTGGAACCTCCATTCATGGGAAGGCTATGAAATATCTTTATTTCTGCAGCTCAGCTCATGAAAAGCAAAACGGTTCTGTGAGAGGAAAAGGCAGTAAAGGGGTCATGGGAGTGCACAAACTACCTTCGGCTGCCAGTTGTATATCCCTGCATTAACAAGCAAAGAATCCAGGAGACCCCAGCCTTTATCCTTAACAGCCACTTTGAAATTGTTTTTGAGTGGGAAATTGGTATGCACAGATGTACATGTGAGAACAAACCTTTTATCATCTGCAGCATAATGAACCATTTGTGTAACTTGAAAATGTGTCGGGATTTGGAGAACAAGGATATGATTATTCTAAAAAGAAGAAAATCATAATGCCAGTTGTAGGGTAGGGAGTGGAGTTGGGTCAGTTAAAGACAGAGCATCAAGTGGATGGAGATAAAAACAGTGGAATAGTAAAGAAAAATACCATAGATTGAGAGGGATAAAATGGCTTCTGGTGGTATAGGCTGAATACTGAGGTGAAAAGAGAAAAAGACCTGTGAAAAGGAAGGGAAGAAGAGAGGATCCTGGAGTGTGAATGGAATTGAGGAGCATTTAGATTCAAGCAAACCCCAACACATTAAACGGTAGGGAATATTAGTGTTTTCCGTATGGACTCTCCCCACTGGGCCAGTGCTTGTATCAAATACAGGCTACAGTATGAACTCCAGACCATCAGGATTATGTGATGATGCTGATAGGAAAAAAAAATCTGTTTTTTTGTTTTGTTTTTTGCAAGACGTTCCCCTAAGAAGGGGACAAAAGATAGCAGTTTCTTAAGAAAGATAGCAGTTTCTCTACAACTCAAAGGAAAAGAGGACTTCACTGTCAATGTTCTTCCTCACTCTTGTACGCCACACCTAAAAAGGTAAAGGTTCCCCTTGACATTCTTAGTCTAGTCGTGTCTGACCCTAGGGGGCGGTGCTCATCCCATTTTCAAGCTGTAGAGCCAGTGCTTGTCCGAAGACAGTTTCCGTTGCCATGTGGCCAGTGTGACTAGGGAACACCATTTTACCTTCCCACCGAGGTGGTACCTATTTATCTACTCGCATTTGCATGCTTTCGAACTGCTAAGTTGGCAAGGAGCTGGGACAAAACAACGGGAGCTCACTGTCGGATGGATTCGATCTTACAACTGCTGGTCTTTCTACCCTGCAGCACAGAGGTTTCCGCGGTTTAGCCCGCAGTGCCACCACAACTGCTACAACCCTATTTTTATGCACAACATTTAAAAATACAGCTCTTTCCAGACTTGCATTTCAACACCTCTGTCCTACCAACTTTAGTCTCTCCCCACTTTCTCTGTTAATCAGAAAGAAGTACAGAGCTTACCGAGATTCGTGTACACACTGTACTTTTAAAAGCCACCTCTTTTAAAAAAGCTTCTCTCCAACTCTCCCCTAAGAAAATGAAAGATATTTTTTTGAAACCATTCCTTTGTCAGAGTGTCTTCTGGAGCTATTTTGTGGGTTTTCTGTGCTAAATGATACAACAGCTTCCAATTAGGTAACAATGACTGCAGAAATGCATTTAATGAGAAGTACAGTGGTGCCTCGACTTAAACTGTCTTGACTTGCAACCAATTTGAGTTACAATCAGCTCCAGTCGCAACATTTTGCTTTGATTTGCAACCGGTGCTTTGAGATACAACCACAAAAAGGCCTCTTTTCCCCATTGTGCCTTCCCTCCTTCCATCCCTTCCTGCCCCTTTTTTAACCTTAGAGGTTATTTTAGGTTAAAAAAGTCTACCCCCTAGTGGATGGATTAACCGCTTTTGCATTAGTCCCTATTTTTATTCCCTCTGGAATTTTTTTTGTATTACACTCCAAACTCTTGTCCCTCCCCCCAATTTTCTTCTCTATCTCTATCCTCTCTCTTTTTGTGCCTAAAAGCACAAACCTTTGTCTGGGGGCGGGGTCTGTGTACCCCAGTGATGGCCTTCTTTATTTCCTCTTTTCCCCACTGTTCCCTCCCTCCCACCTTTCCTGTTCTTTTTTTAACCTTTAAAAAAGGCCGGAACTGATTAATCGCGTTTCAATGTATTCCTATGAGAAATGGTGCTTTGAGTTAAAACCATCATCCCGGAACGAATTACTGTATTTTTCGCTCCATAAGACACACCTTTCCATAAGACGCACCAATTTTTTAGGAGAAGAAAACAGGAAAATATAATCTGTTTTCTTCGCTCCATATGACGCAGACTTTCCACCCTTCTGTTTTGTGGGGAAAAAGTGAAAACATCATCCCAGAACAAATTAAGTTTGCAACTCAAGGCACCACTGTACCCTAGTTATATACAGTACTTTGTCTTGACAACAAACAACAAAAAGAAATTAGATTTCAGAAAAGTACACAAAAACAGGGGTAGTCGAGGATTATGTCACTGTCACTGTTTTTATTGAAAAAAGCTTTGTCATGTGAATACAGAGAAATTCTGATACCAGCACTCAATCTTTGTACATTTCAGAGAATAATCCTTTATCTATTTTCAAAACAATAATTTTCAAGGGGAAAACTCTGATTTCAAACCTCCATTGCCTTGTGGCTATATCCACTTATGGAAAAGGCTTCAGGAGTTAACTTCGAGGAAAAATCCAGAGCTGGAGTCCCGGAGGCAATTCGTGTTGTTCTGCCGACTCCTGCGACATCATTGGAACCAGTTGTATTGGCTCTCGCCTTTCCACTAGACTATTTCAGTGATGTGGAGAGGGGGGATTTGCTGCCTGGGTAACATCCTATCCTCCATATTATTTTACCCAGGCTTCGTGCTCTGGAGAGGACACTCCAGCTTCGCATACAGCGTCGAAACAACACGGGAAGTAGCAGTTACCGGTTATAAGTCTTTGCTCGATTGGCATACAACTAAGACATTTTTATTCTTTAGAAACTAGCATT